CCCCCCCGCCTCCCCCTTCCCCTCCCGCACTCCACGCAGGAGCGCGACATTTTCGACGAGGAGGAGGAGGACGAGTAGTGCTGGACCTGAGACTGTATCCTGTCGCCGTGGTGTTTGATGGTATTGAGTGGCCAGCGCGGGCCAATCTGTGTGTGTACGATCTCCACCCTTCTGTTCCCCCTTCTTTCTCTATCCTGTTCTTCTAACTTACACTCTACATGAAAGTAAGCTTCATTGCAGCACACGCGATATGGCGATTTACAGAGCCGACAGACCGGGGGCGGTTTGCTTTCAAGTATCAAGATTTTAGGGATTTAGCGTGTTCCGTTCAGTATTCAGCGAGAGAGTCGGAGGAGTGTGAATTGGAACTACTTACAACTAGCGCGCCAGTGAGAAAGCAGAGTGCGGCCGCTCCTACGTGCTACGAAATTGGGGCCTGGGGCCGTGGGCAAAGGACTCCGGCACAGAGTGAGTCCTCAAGCTCAAGAGTAAGTTAGTAAATAACACGCGATGACCAAAAGGTGCAACTGCAAGGATTCAATGCCATTGGGTTCCGAAGGATCCTAGGTGAAAACTGAAATCTGAAAAGACATCCAGTAGTGTACTCAGCCTCCACACACCCTGCAGTTGACGTACTGTAAGCCATTTACGAGCCACCAGCGCCACGCCTCTCGTCCCGTGGCCTCCCACGCCCACCCCGCCCACCCCGCCCACCGCGCCCGCCGCGCCCGCCGCGCCCACCCCGCCCCCCTCGCCCACCGACCGCCTCCGTGGCGCCCACGGGCTGAGCCTGGGGCACGGGGCGCGAGGGCGGCTGGTGAACAAACGTCGTCTGCGCCGCCACCAGCCGCCCAGTTGCGGCGATGGGCAGCGCCGGCTGGCGGCAGGCCGGGCAGTTGCTGTCGCGCTCCAGCACGCGCGGCGCACATGTCTCGCAGTACAGCGCGTGGCCGCACGCGAAGCGGACCGAGCGCTTTGCGTCCCAGCAGAGGTCACACAGGCGCTCCTCGGCCCCAGCCTTCTCCTCCACCTCCCCCGCCGCTTCGACTAGCGCCTCCAGCCGCGGCAGCGCCTCTGCGAGCGGCATCCGCTTCTTCTTCCTCACGAGAGCCAGCCCGACCACGAGCCGCGTCAGCGCCGCGGCCTGCGCCGCCGACCAGCCAGCGTCGGCCGCCGCGATGCCCTCCGCCGTGTCGGGCTCCTCCAATGCATCGTCGCATGCGTTGAGCAAGCCGAGCGCGCCGCGGCCGGTCAGGGCGACGAGCAGCGTGATGCCGAGCGCAAAACCATCGGTGAGCTGCGAAGCCTGACCATCGTGCACGATGATCGAGTCCATGTAGCCAGGCTTGCCGAAGAGGCGTTGCGTCGACAGGTGCGAGACCTGTCCATTGCCGCCGGCCGTCGCCTCTGCCGCGCGCGCGAGGCCCACGTCGGCGAGGTAGCCGTTGCCGCGCTCGTCGAGCAAGATGTTGCCCGCCGAGACGTCGCGGTGCAGGATCATCGGAGAGAGCGTGTGCAAGTAGTGCAGCGCTCTCGCCGCGTCGCGCAGCACGCGGAGCCGTGCGGCGGAGGAGAGCGGCGGAGGCGGCGTCTCGAAGCCGAGCATGCGGAGCCGCTGCAGTGCGGCTGGAGCGCGGTAGAGGCGGTCCTCGAGGCTGCCGCCGCGGCAGAGGGGGTAGACGAGGCACGCTCTCGCCGGCGCCAAGCAGACGCCGAGGAGAGGGAGGAGGGACGGGTGGCACGCTGCGCTGAGCGTTCGCACCTCGCTCTGCAGCTCGGCGAGGCCTTGAGCGCCGACACCGACCAGCGCTGTCTTGACGGCGAACCCGCAAGCGACGCGCGGAAGCGACGGCAGCGTGTCGCAGCGGTAGACGCGCCCAAAGCCGCCCTCGCCCACCTTGCGCACCTCGGCAAAACCGTCGGTCGCCGCGATGAGCTCGTCGAGAGGGACGGCAGCGGGCGGCGCGGCGGCGGCGGCGAGGGCGGCGACACTCGCCGCCGCCGACGCTGCCGCTGCCGCCGCCGCTGCCGCCGCCTCCGCTGCCGCCGCCTCTTGAGCCTCCGCCGCCGCCACGGCCGCCACTGCCGCCTCTACAGCCGCCGCCTCCGCCGCCGCCTCCGCCGCCGCCTCCGCCTCCGCTTCCGCCCTCTCCCTCGCTTCTTCCCTCTCCCTTGCCGCCTCCTCCCTTGCCCTCGCCTCTGCCTCCTCCCTTGCCCTCGCCTCTGCCTCCTCCCTTGCCCGCGACGCCGCCTCCGCCTCCTCCGCCGCCCGCGCCGCCCGCGCCTCCGCAGCTGCCTCAGCCGCCCGCGCCTCGTCAGCCGCCCGCGCCTCGTCCGCCGCCCGCGCCTCCTCCGCCGCCCGCTCAGCCGCCTCCGCCTGCCTCGCCGCAGCCTTCTCCTCCTTCTGCCGCTGCCGCTTCAGCGCCCTGGCCTCGCGGGCCCTGCGCTCCGCCAGCTCGTCGCGCAGCTGCCGCGCCGCCCGCAGCGCCTCGGAGCCGTCGGCGATTTCGGTGTTCGCATTGATCGCCGCCCTGAGCGCCTCGAGATCGGCGTCGCCTCGCTCGCACGCCTCCACCGCCTCGCGCAGCGCAGCCTCGGCAGCATCGCGCGCCTCCGCTGCCGCTGCCACCTCGCGTGCGGCCGCCGCGGCCTGTTCGGCCACTGCCGTCTCCCCCTCCGCCTCTGCTGCGGCCGACGAGTGCTCCTCGAGAGCGCGCACGCATTCGGCGTGGCCTTGCTCCTTGGCGCACTGAAGCGCCGTCTTGCCGTCAACAGTGCGCGCCGCGTCTGCGCCCGCCCGCAGCAAGCGCCGCACGACGGCGGGGCGGTTGAAGAGGGCGGCGATCATCAGCGCGGTGAAGCCGCCGCTGTTCTGCAGGTTGATCTCCGCCCCACACCGAATCAGCAAGTCGACCACACGCCCGTGGCCGTTGCTGGCGGCGGCCATCAGCGCGGAGTCGCCGTTGCTGTCCTGCAAGCTGACCTCCGCCCCACGCCGCAGCAGCAGCTCAACCACCCGCTCGCGGCCTTCGCGGGCGGCGCCCATCAGCAACGTGAGGCCGCTCACGCCGTCTTTCTCGTACCTCGCGTCGGCCCGCCCGCCGTCCTCGAGCCACGCCAGCACCGCCTCCTCCTCGCCACGCTCAGCCGCTGCCACGACCTCGTCGGAGACTGCCACGACACCGCTCGACGCCCGCCCCGCCGCCACCGCTGGAGATAGCGTCTTCGCGACTCTCGATCCAGCCGAGGAAGCGCCGCCGGAGGAAACGCTGCCTGCGCCTTCGCCGCCGGCTGCCGTCGCCGTGGGCCGACCCGCCACGACCGACTCCTTGACGTGCTGCCTGAAGGCCTCGACGCACTCGGCGTGGCCCTTCTCCTTGGCAAACTGCAGCGCCGTCTTGCCGCTCGCACTGCGCGCCGCCGTGTCTGCGCCCGCCCGCAGCAAGCGCCGCACGATGGCGGGGTGGTTGAAAAAGGCGGCGGTCATCAGCGCGGTGTAGCCGCCGCTGTCCTGCAGGTTGACATCAGCGCCGCACCGGATCAGCTGCTCGACCACCCGCTCGTGGCCGTGGTCGGCGGCAAGCATCAGCGCGGTGAAGCCGTTGCTCCTCTGCAGGTTGACCGCTGCGCCGTGCTGCAGCAGCAACTCGACCACCCGCTCGTGGCCTTTGTTGGCGGCGACCATCAGCAGCGTGATGCCGTCTGTCCCGTTACGTCGCGTTGACCCGCCCGCCACTGTCGAGCCACGCCAGCACCGCCTCCTCGTTGCCTCGATGAGCCGCTGCCACGACCTTATCGGACACTGCCACGCCACCGCCTGACACCGGGTCCGCCGCAGCTGGCGACAGATTGTCCGGCCGCACCCGCACGCTCTCGCCGCCGCCCTCGAGCGCCACCGCGTACCGGCCGCCCTCGAAGCTCCGCGCCTCGCCCCGCTGCCCGTTCAGCTCGGGGCGGGAGGAGAGCCCACCGAGCACGACGCGCTGCCCGAGCAGCGGCGCGTCCACCGCTGCCGCTGCCGCGCCCGAGGAAGCGCCGCCCGGCCCTGCCCGGCCGTCTGCAGCCGCCGCCGCCTCAGCCAAGACCTTGACGCACTCGGCGTTGCCCTTCGCCTTGGCACACTGAAGCGCCGTCATGCCACTCTTCGTGCGCGCCGCCGCGTCTGCGCCCGCTTGTAGTAAGCGCCGCACGACGGCGGGGTGGTTGAAGAGGGCAGCCCACGTCAGCGCGGTGCCGCCGTCGCTGTCCTGCAGGTTGAGCTCCGCGCCGTGCCGCAGCAGCAGCTCGACCACCCGCTCGTGGCCTTGGTCGGCGGCGAACACCAGCGCGGTGCCGCCGTTGCTGGTCTGCACGTTGAGCTCCGCGCCGTGCCGCAGCAGCAGCTCGACCACCCGCTCGTGGCCGTTCTCGGCGGCGAGCATTAGTGCGGTGAAGCCGTTACTGTTCTGCAGGTTGATCTCCGCGCCGTGCCGAAGCAGCAGCTCGACCACCCGCTCGTGGCCGTGGCCGGCGGCGGTCATCAGCCCGGTGAAACCGTTGCTGCTCTGCAGGTTAATCTCCGCGCCGTGCCGCAGCAGCAACTCGACCACCCGCTCGTGGCCGTGGCCGGCGGCGCTGATCAGCAGCGTGATGCCACTCACCTCGCCTCTCTCGTACGTCGCGTTGACCCGCCCGCCACTGTCGAGCCACGCCAGCACCGCCTCCTCCTCGCCTCGCTCAGCAGCTGTCACGACCTCATCGGAGACTGCCACAGCACCGCTTGAGGACCGCTCCGCCGCCGCCGGCGACAGATTGTCCGGCCGCACCCGCACGCTCTCGCCGCCGCCCTCGAGCGCCACCGCGTACCGGCCGCCCTCAAAGCTCCGCGCCTCGCCCCGCTGCCCGTTCAGCTCGGGGCGGGAGGAGAGCCCACCGAGCACGACGCGCTGGCCGAGCAGCGGCGCGTCCACCGCTGCCGCTGCCGCGCCCGAGGAGGCGCCGCCCGCCCCTGCCCGGCCGTCTGCAGCCGCCGCCGCCTCCGACAAGACCTTGACGCACTCGGCGTGGCCCTCCTCCTTGGCCATCTGCAGCGCCGTCTTGCCGTCAACAGTGCGCGCCGTGTCAGCGCCCGCCCGCAGCAAGCGCCGCACGACGATGTGGCTGTTAAAGAGGGCGGCGGCCATCAGCGCGGTGGCGCCGTTGCTGTCCTGCAGGTTGACCTCAGCGCCGCGCCGTAGCAGCAAATCGACCACACGCTCGTGGCCGTGGTCGGCGGCAAGCATCAGCGCGGTGCTGCCGCCGCTGCTCTGCAAGTTGATCTCCGCGCCGCGCCGCAGCAGCAAGTCGACCACCCGCTCGTGGCCTTTGTCGGCGGCACCCATCAGCAGCGTGATGCCGCTCTCGCCGCCTCTCTCGCACGTTGCGTCGGCCCGCCCGCCGCCGTCGAGCCACTCCAGCACTGCCTCCTCCTCCGCCGCTAGCACTGCCTCCTCCTCGGAATCTGCCATCACGGCGTTGGGCCCCCCAGCACCTCGGGTCCCCAAGGGCCAAGGGGTGAATTGGGGTCCGCGTTGGTGTCCCAGTCGTTGGTCGGACTGTGTTTCGCCTTCCCATCAATCAATCAATTGGCTGTCGGTCCCATCGTCCGCCGAGCTGCGCTTGTGCGGAGAGGGGTGTACCACAGACGTGAGACGACCGAGAGACCGGACAGGTGTGCGTGTTCGCGTGCATCGTGGACACAGCTTGGGCCTCCCTTCCACGCCCCGCGATCTCACCGCCACACCGGGGAGAGAGGGCAGGTTCGCGACGTCCCGGACGAGAGAGAGCAGGGACGAGAGTGATCAGTGTGTGGACCCCACGTCTCCTCGCGGCAGGTTCCCTCTTTTACAAGTGAACAATCAGAGTGGTACAAAGAGTGGAACCCCACTGCCAGGAGCCAGCTCCAGGCGCGGCGGTCCCAGCAGAGGGAAAGCGTTGGAATCGCCGCATAACCGTCGATCTCCTGCTCAGGTGAGAGAGCCGGAGGCGTGCGCGAGGCGCCACACCTCGGGCGAGGCGGCGAGCTCGGTGACTCCTACCACAAGGATGTGTCGCTCAGACAGCTTTCACGGCCCGCCGGCTGCATGGGAGCCCCCTCTCTGTGCCGTCTGGTGGCGTGGAGCATCTAGAGACGGGCGCCTTTCGCAACGTAGGCGGAGTGGCGCGCCTCAACCTCGGGCATGTCGTAGTGGTAGTTGACCATGATAGAGGCGCTCTCCTGCGGAGGGAGAGAGAGAGGCCTCTTCGGTGAGGGAGAGACAAGGGGGGGGGGGGGGGGAAAGAGGGAGAGGGAAAAAGGGAGAGGGAAAGGGAGGGAGTGGGAGTGGGAAAGGGAGAGGGAAAGGGAAAGGGAGAGGGAAAGGGAGGGAGGGAGGGAGGGAGGCAGGCAGGGAGATAGACATATAGAGAGTCCGTGACATAGAGAGACAGAGTAGAGACACATAGAGAGAGAGATAGAGAGAGAGAGATAGAGTGAAGAGAGAGAGAAACTGTGTGTGGCTTCGGGGGGGTGGGGGGGGAGACTAGTCCTTCTCCTCTAACCCTAAAAAGGACGGGTTGGCTGCCCAGTGAATGGCGATCAGCGCCGCGCCGTTTCGCATGTGGAAGCCAGCCCCCGGGTCGAGCGCGCGCTGCCGCTGTGTGGCGCGGCACAGGTAGCGCGCGCACAAGCCGAGGAGGGACCGCCGCACCGGGTCAGCCTTTTCCTACAAAAAGGAACGAAATCGGTGGAACGGGACGCCGCCGGGTCGAGCCTTGTCGCTTCCCCGGGGGGGGACCGCCCTGGGGGGTTGCAGCGGTTCGCAGACCCCCCTGGACCCCCCAATAAAGAAGTTTCCCCGCATGGGACCCCCCCCCCCCCCCAATACAGAAGCTTCACCGCATGTGAACGCCCCCCCCCCCACCCCCACCCCGGAGCGACGCGCGCCTGCTCCGGCGACTGCACGCCGCCCGTGGAGATTGGGCCGTGCAGCGGGCCGAGCTCGGAGAAGGGGGCGGCCTCGTCGAGGCCGGCTGCAGAGAGGGCCTGGCGGGGTGCAGCCGAGGTGCGGCCGAGGTGCAGCCGAAGTGCAGCCGAGAAACAGCCGAAGCACAGCCGAGGAACAGCCGAGGCGCAGCCGAGGTGCAGCCAAGCACAAGCCTGCAGCAGCCCGTTCAGCGCGGCGCCCTCCCCACTCAAGTCCTCGCCTCCGCCCCCGGAGGCGCGCAGCCGGGCCAGCCGCGCCTACAGCACTCGACAGCAGGAGGCAGTGTGTGTGTTAGCGCGGCTGGCCCGGCAGCGCGCCTCCGTAGCACTACGACAGCCGCGCCTGCGCGACCGGGGCGCCCTGCGACCGAGCTGCACTGCTACTCTCTCTTCACAGTATTCGACAGCAGAAGGCAGTGTAGCACCACGGCATCCGCTCCCATAGCCTTCGAACACTGGGAGGCCTCGAGGCACGGGGAGATGTGGGGAGATTCGACGCATCTAGGGAAAGCCGGGCCGTCAGCCACGTCCGGAAGCCAGGCACCGGCGAGAGAGTGACGAAGGTGCGCAGGGACGGCTCCGCCGCCGCCAGCGAGGCTGCCGCCTGCTTGATCAGCAGCCCGCCTAAAAGAAGAAATACGCGCTCCGACGTGAAGTCGATTTGCGAGGCTGCCGCTGCTTGAAGAGCCGGCCCGCCTACAGACAGAACTGACCAGGTCAAGAAGAAGTCGGTTGCCCCGCCGCCTCTGCCTGCAGAGCGGTCCGCCTAAAAAAGAAATGCGCGCCTCGAAAAACGAAATGCGACGCGCCGCCAGCGCGAAGAGCGGTCCACCAACAGGGACGCCCCGCAAGCCGGAGAAGGGCGACGAGATCGAGTAGAAGGCGGCCGTTGTCGGGGCGAACGGCGGCGGCGCAGCGGACGCGGCAGCGGCGGGCGGCGAGGCGGAGGGCGGCGGCGCAGAGGGCGGCGAAACGGAGGGCGGCGGCGGCGCGGAGGGCAGGACGGCGGCGAGGCGGGACGGCACCTCGCCGACCAGCGCGACGTGGACAAACACGAGCGGCTCGCCGGGCATGCGAGGGTGCCTAGTCATGAGTAGCCACTCTCATTGCTACTGGCCGGTTGTCAGTGGCCTCGCCGGGCATGCGAGGGTGCCTAGTCATGAGTAGCCACTCTCATTGCTACTGGCCGGTTGTCAGTGGCCTCGCCGGGCATGCGAGGGTGCCTAGTCATGAGTAGCCACTCTCATTGCTGCTGGCCGGTTGTCAGTGGCCTCGCCGGGCATGCGAGGGTGCGTCAGCGCAAACATGCGGTTGTAGCGGCCGGCCGCACCGCCCTCGCTGGCGCCGTCGGCGTCTCCGCCGCCGAGCCTCCGCTGCAGGTCGGGCCAGCCTAATGCACAGTTCTTCTCAATCGGCTGCCGTTCGTCCATCCTCGCCGCGCCTCCGCTGCAGGGCGGGTGTAGCCTCCAGTGAAGGGGTGCACTCGCTCGTACCGCATCACGCGCCTGAGGAAGGAATGGATGGATGGATCACTTCTCAGTGAAGGGGTGCACTCGCTCGTACCGCATCGCACGCCCAAGCAGCCCGGCGGGCGAGGTTTCCCACGAGAGAGGCTCCAGCTTGAGCAGGCCCTGGTCGAACCTAATCTCGGCTGATCTCGGCTGATCTCGGGTAATCTCATCCGAGGCTCGAGCAGGCTGTGGGCGAACCAGGTGGAGAGGAGTCGGCGCAGCGATCCGTCGAGCGCACGCCACCGCTCCCGCAAGCCCTCGCCCCGCTCCCCCTCGCCCGCCTCGCCGCCCTCTGCGGCCAGAGGAGACGCGACAGAACCCGCTTCGGCAGCCGCTGCAGCGGCGGTGGCTGCAGCGGCGGTGGCCGCGCTGCTGCCGGCGGCGGGAGGAGACAGAGAGGGAGAGGGAGGTGCGGCCTCGGCGAAGGGTCCGCGCTGAGCGAGCGCGGAGAGGAGATCGGCACGCATCGCCACGAGGAAGCGCAGCCCGCCCGGCTGCTGCGCCAGCCGGCCGATGATGCGCTCCGAGGGCGGCTCGAGGGCCTCGCGAAGAGCGCCACGTGCGCGCAGGCTCGCAGCGGCGCGGCAGTCATCCTCCGCGGCGAGGAGGTTCTGGCAGCTGCGACGGACGGTGGAAAGGTCCACATCTTGGCGCGCCAGGATGGAGAGGAAGCCCAACCGGCCTGGAGGCTGCAGCGCCTCGTAGGCCGACATGAGCGACTTTCCGAGCCGCGCGGGCAGCACGTCGTCGCCGGGAGGCGTCTGCGCAATCTCGCGCAGCAGTCCTCGCAGACGCTGCTCGTCGGCGCGGGGCAGCGGAGGGCACGCCCGCAGCAGGGCGCGGAGGCGGAACATGTATGTCGCCGGAGCAAATGAGAAAAAAGTAACCAAAGGCTCTCGCACACGCACGATTCAAAAAGTGGCGTCCTACAAGCAAACTCCCCTAGGTGAGTGAGTGTGTCACGGACGCCGTCGGCAGGTGCATGCCTGCCGACTCTGCTCGCCCACCTGGTGGCGGCGGCGCCGCCGCCGCTGACGACGGTACTGCGACCGGCGGTAACAGCGGCGCTGCCAGCGTCGTCAACGGCGTCGGCGCAGCCGGCCGGCAGCGACTGTGGGAGGCGGCGCGGGAGAAGAGGGGGAAGGTGGCGAAGGTGACAACTCGCAGACGGCGAACGCGATGGAGGTGGTGCGGGCGCAGCAGGCCGCGAAGGAGCAGGTAGCCTTCCCACATTTTTTCTCAAATTCTTTCGCTGTGCGACGGCGTGTTTGTTGGCACTCTTATCAAAAGGAGCATGCAGAACCAAGACGCTGCCACGGCCTGGGCGGTGGAGGCGCTCGAGGCGGTAAAGACGGCGCGTGCAAAGGCCGTGTCAGACGGCCTCGATCCCGCCGAGGAGGCGGCGTTAGCGCGAGAGGCGACGGCCCGCTTGGCCGTAAGGGCGGCGGAGGAGGCGGCGGCAGCGAAGCTCGAGGAGGCGTCGGCGCGGAGAAGCGCAGCGGTTGCGACCGCTGCCGAGTCCCAGGCGGAGGAGAAGCGCGCGAAAGCTGCCGCTGCTGCCGCTGCGGCAGCGGAGCGGGCGGCGGAGCGGGCGGCTGCGGCCGAAACGGCCGAGGCGGCTGCGCGTGAGGCGAAAGACGCGGCTCAGGCGGCCGAGACGTTGGCGAGGGAGGTACGACTTCAAACGAGGATGCGTGGCCACTGAGAGGAGGAGAGACTGCAGCTGGCGCGAGTCGGGGAGTAGGTGTCAGTGGCGACGGCGACGCGCAAGGCGGCCGAGGAGAAGGCGACGCTCGAGGCGGCGGCAAAAGAGGCGAGGGCCAAGCTGGCGGCGGCGTCTGGCGCGGGTCTCGTCGTCGCGTTCCCGCCCCGGCAGGAGGGGTCGAACTGGTCGCACGCACCGCCCGCCGCCGCCGCGGCGGAGGAGGACGACGACTCGTGGATCTCGTCGTGCGCCATCGCGTGAGACCGGAGACCGCGAGCTCGTACGGCAGCTAGGACGGCAGTCTCCATACTCCATATTACCTACCAAGAGGGAACGTGCGACACGACTGCACGACTCTCGAGTGTGGAACGCGTGGACTAGTGGCGGCTACTATGTCCGTATCATCCGGATTATACTGTTTATTGACGATTTAGCATTTTTTACTGAAATAAATAAATAAAACGGGCAAACTCTGAGACGAGATGGGATTTAGGGACATGTGTCCCCGCCCTGCACGATCTTGGTGTGAGGGATCTTCAATCCGTGTCCCCTCACCCCTCGTCACAACCCGACACGGAAGAGCGGCAAGAGTTGGGGCTGCGGCTACGGCTGCGGCTATGAGAGGGGCCGGGGTCGCGGGAGAGCCGCTGCGCCGCGTGGACGCGCCTACACCGCTCTTGCTCCGCTCGCCACCTCTCGCAAAGGTCCAAAGCCATAGCCACCACCTCCTCCGGCAAGTCCTTTCGCCGTATCTCGCCGTCCCTCCACGCCTGGAAGAGCTCGTCGTCATAGCCGTATTGCATCACAGCCTGCTGAACTGCGTCGTGTACGACCCCTGCCGTCCTATCCTGCGCCTCAGCGTCGGAAAAGTCGAACTCGGAGTCATACTCGGAAGCAGGCACAGACGGCCGCGGTGATTTGGCAGGCGGCGAGGAGGGGGAGGGGGAGCGCGGCGGTGCGCGCTCGTGCCTCCCGCTGGTGCCAGAAGGGCCAGCGCCCAGCGCGCTCAGCCTGTTCTTGTTCACCTTGGGAGAGGGGGGTGGGGGTCCACCTCCCTTGGGTGCGGGCTGGCGGTCAGGCTTGCGCTTGACCGCCTTGCCCGGCGGCTTGCGGCCAGGGTTCCTCATGGTGAACCTGTCCGGCATGCCGCCCTTCCCAACCCTGGTCCACCCCTCGGGCGACTCGTTGGGCTGGGGTTGCTGCATCTGTTGGTGCTGCGGGTGTGCCTGCGGTGCTGCGGCCGGAGCTGCAGCGGCGGCAGGCGGTGCTGCGGGCGGTGCCGCGGCGGAGGTGGCAGCAGGCACAGGCTGCGGTGGGGCACTGCCCTCCTTGGCCTGCTGCCGCTCCCTGTTCCCTCTCCCACTGGGACTGGGGCTGGACAATGAACTGCTTGCCCATGGGCGTCGGGTTGACGCTGAAGCTCCACCAGTTGCGCTCCACGGCGAGCTGCGAGAGGATGCGAATCATCGCCTCGTCTTGCGGCGCCACCGCCTCTCCTGTGGCTTGCGCGCACAGTTTGAGCCTGGCCGCAACGGACGGGCCATCGCGAGCGTCGGCCATGGCCCTGTTTCGCCGTTTTGTAAAGTTTTCGAGAACGCGATGCTGAGCATACGTTTAAAACTCTCTTTAGAATATAGAAAAAAAACACGGGGCGACCCCGAGCCGCAGCTTTGATATTCAAAGAACCACACGATCAGCCACTCTCAGTATTTTGAGGGCCTGCTAGTCGATGCAGCCCCGCTCCTCGACACGCTTCCTCCTTCTCCGCTTCCAGTCGCACACACTGAGCAGGGCAACTGGTCCGCTCAGGACAACGATTCCAAACAGGGCCACGTCGGCGGCTGGGAACGCGGAGCAGTGCAGCGCCTCGCTCTTCACTCTCGACACAAGGCTCGACCGAGCACTGTTGTCTATATCGCGGAGCGCGATGGCGTCCCCCCACGTTGTCGCCGGCCGTTCCAGTGCCGCACGGTCCCAAATCGCCGCCGAGAACTCTTGGAGCCACTCCTCCAAGATGCGATCGAGCCGTTCTTTCAGTGCATACATCGTGTAGCACACAATGTCCGTGTGGCATCCGTGGCAAAAGTGCGCGCCAACCACGATGAACTTCAATGGCGCACCCGTGAAGATGCCAAACGCAAGACTGCGAAGAGCTTCTGTCATCCATCGCGCGCTCGAGGTGAGGAAGGTGTGCTGGAACGTGCTCGTGCGGCCAGGCGGCAGCGGCGGCCAGACGTCATCGGCTGAAGGGCAGCTGCAATCGTTGCTTCTCTTCGAAGCGTCGCTCACCAGCGTGTCTTTGGTGGCGATATAGGCGTGCCACACCGGCATCTGAAAGAAGTAATTCACCATCATCGATGTCTCGTTGGGCGGCGCCTCGGTGTGGTGCAGCATGCCGATTGGCACGTAAATCATGTCGCCGGGTGTGAGAACCACCTTCATCCACTTGGATCTGTTGTACCGTGGATATTTGGAAAGGTACTTTTCCGGATGCTTGAAGTCGATCGGACTCTTCTGCTTGCCGTAGTCTTCTGCTTCATACGGATAGTACACGTTGTCATAATGCGTGTGATCGGCGACGTAGAATGTCTTGTTGCCTCTGAGCATGACGGCAAAGTTCTCGTGACTGTCAAAGTGGGTGACCGATTGCTGGCCGCCGCTGCCGCTCCACCACAAGTGCGAAACAGCCTCCCTGAGCGCGCCCGAAAAGCCACGCAGGAATTGCGATGTAGTGTTGCTCACACCAGCACCTTCGATCAGCCAGCCAAAGTCCGAGTCGACCACGTACAGCTTCTCCCTCTTTGATCGAGCAATGTAATCTGCGGCCGACATAATCTCGGGCTTTCCGTTGCGCTCTCTGTACTCAAACTCGTGTAGCGAGCCCTCCGCCTGCACTTCGACCCCATTCGCTGTGAGCATTTCAGCGAGCTCCTCGTCATTGCGGATGCGCGTCAGGTACTCGTTGTCAGTCAGGACGTTCCTAAAGACTGCCGGTCGAAGCTCTTGCAAATTGCTCCGCACGAACTGGCGAAAGGCCGCCACGCCGTCCACCATCGAGCTCTCGGCCCCAAAGTCGAACTCATCGACGCCGCCGAGAGGTACGCGGCGGAAGTTTGCGCAACTCCGTCTGGTGGAGGTCTCCACGTACTCTCCTCGCTTCTCGGCTCTCGTCGATGCCGCAGTCATCCTGATGACGTGCACAATGACGACGGCAGCGATCAGAAGCAATGGCGTGAACACTCCGACGACAATCGGACCCGCCACTCGCTTCATCGACTCTTTCAATTTCATGTCGGCGATGGAAAGGAGCCGGGTGCGCCGGCCGGATATGACCAGGGTGCTGCGCCAGCCGGATGTGACTAGAGACCGCCGGCGTTCGTAAAAGAGTTGTTTCTTTTCAAAGCGAAAACTACGGGAATGTACGTAAGAGCCACATACACTAAAAAATGGCTGCAGAGGCGGCGGGCGAGCCGGAGGTGGCGCCATCGCCGGCGCCGCCGCCGGTGTTCAAGACGCTCAGGGAGAAGAAGTCGGCTCAGGCGTCGGCGGAGGGCTAGGCGGCGGAGGTGGCGAGGGCCGAGGAGCTCTACGAGGAGCTGTGCGAGCGCGCGCCCCAGCACTGCCGCCGTGGCGGCAAGTGGGCGCGCGAGAAGTTCGTGATGGCGGTGCAGGGAGAGTTAGTTCCCACGCGCGCGAGGGGCAGGCGTTCCCGAGGGGACGATCCTGTGCCTCGGCAGGGCGCTCGACGCGCACGATGAGCAGGACGACGCGGAGGGTGGGCGCCGGGATTGGGAGGAGGACCCGCTCGGGTTCGACACCAACCCGGGGCTGCTCCGCGCCATGTGCATGGCGTTCGAGTGAACGCCGGCCGTGCAGGCAGCCCGTGCCTTTTGGTGTACCCCGTTTGTGCCGCGTCCTGTGCCCCCGAGTTCATTTAATAACAAAAAATGGTCGACAAAACGACGAGGGGGGCCTCGGAAGACGGGTTCCCGCCCGGCGCCTAGTTTGTCACAAAAGGCGGGACTCCATTCGCCCCAAAACGGGAAGCCGCCGTGCGCGCCTACATTCCACATGGGGAGGCTCGAGGGCGGCAAGGCCAGAGCGCTGGCCACAGTGCGAAGCGAGGACTTTATCGTGCTCGTAGCCTCCGCCGCGTTGCTCGGAGTCTGCGCCGTCGTCGGCCCGATTCTGGTGCCGACGCGTGAGCAGGTCCTCCCGTTCCAAGTGGTTGACCTCGGCATCACCAACGGCGACGGAACGCCCGCGACCGTGGTCCTGCGCGATCAGACCTACGACAAGCCTGTCGTCGACGAGAGGGTTCCGAACTGGGCCCTCGGCATCATCAACATCGCAGGAGTAGTCCTCACAGGGTTCGTGGGCGCATTCCTGCCAAAGTGCTGCTTCGGCGGCCATGGCGAGGGCATGCGCGCCCTGTCGGCCGCCTTTGTCTCGGTGGGCGTGTGCACTCTTGCGGCCGGAATCCTCCGCTCGTACTTCGGAATCCTCCGTCCCAACTTCTTCGATGGCTGCGGCTGGAACAATACTCTGGCGGCGTGCACCACTGGCTGGAAGGGCGAGGACCACGATTTGGACGAGGGCCGACGGTCATTCCCGTCCGGCCACACAGCGTCTGCCTTCTCGACCCTCTTCCTCCTCTCTCTCTGTCTGCTGCGCATCGCGCGTGCCACTCGCGCTTCGCACGCAGCAACGGATCACGTTGGCTTGAGCAAGCGCCTGCTCCCCACGGTTCTCACTGTCGTGGCCATGCTACCGCCGACGGGCGCAACTCTTATCGCGGCCACTCGGGTCACTGACTATTACCACCACACCGCCGATGTAGTGGCTGGCGCATTCCTAGGAGTGGCCTGCGCCGCTCTCGCGGCGGAGAGCCTGCTGCCCGACTTTGGCGAGGACCTGTGCGAGGGCCGAGTGCGCGTGCGGCCCGTGAGGGCATCGTCCAGCGTGGCGATCACGAGCGTGCCTCGTCGCGAAAGCACCTCAAGCGACGCTGGCCGCCTGTGATGGAGGCCGTCTCCGACAAAGCGGAAGGCAAGCGGCGCTGCTGAGCGCGCCACGGTAAGTCGTGTGAGCGCAACAAACGCGTCACAACATGGCGGCCGATGCAGTTGCACGCGACCCACAGCCCACCAGACCCACACAGATCTCGGATGCTCAGTCCTCAGTGGGGGAGGTACAGGACCCGCCCACGCGCTACGGGCGCACCTAGTCCTCGTAAACGAAAATTAGTGCTCGAGTACAAAAAGTGTTAACACGCACCGACTCGCGACAGGACCCGACTGGCGACTCTCCTTGCCTCACAACGTCTCGAGACACATACCTCTCACGCACCACCCATGCATCCGAAAAGCACCTCGAGACACACACAACAAGCTGAGCTCTAGCTACAAGCTAGCGGAAGAGGCTATGCTGGTGCGGCGGCGGTACTGCGCCGTTGCACCCCTCCACGTGGGCCTCCACGCCCTCCGCCTTCCTCGCAAAGACCGTCGAGCCAACGCACCTGCGGCCAAGCGGCACGGGCAGCGGTGGGGCACCCGCCCTTCCCCAGCCTCAGCCCGCCCGCCCCTTCACCGCACCTCTTGCCAATCGGGCGGGGGCACGCCCAAGCTCCGCCGCGCCGCCGCATCCCAAAGCCGCAGAGGACCTAGCAGGGAGCGTGTGAGGGCGTAGACATCCTGACGCCCTTGGTGTGCTAACCCCTCTCACTGCATACTAGCTGCCCCGTCGGCGAGCCTCTCGTCGAGCTGGAGCACCGACGCGGCCCGCGGCCCGCTGCTGTTGAGCCGCGCCGCGGCAAACGAGGGCAGGAGCGTCTCCTGCGCGGGGCGGGAGGGAGAGGGGGGGGTGAAAGGGGGGGGCGGGGCGGGAGGTGCGTGTGCTGCACTGACTGACTGACGGAAGGGAGGGGGGGGGGCTCCTCCGGCGCGAGCCAGAGCACCGGCCGGGCATGCACCTACCAGTCATCACTCAGTGAGCACTCGCTCACTCTTGATGGCCGGGCAAGCACCGGCGAGATGAAGGCACGAGAGTCAGGGGAGGGTGGAGACGGTCTCGCGCAACCGGAGCACCGCGTGCATACGAGGGATACCGACACAGTGAGCAGAGCTGCATGCCGAATCCCGTGGAGTCCCCCCGCCTCCTCTCGAGTGCTGCTCGGAAGGCACAGAGACGGTTACGCATCTCCTACCACGCACCGCGCGCCGTGCAGGGAGCCGCGGCAAGGCGCCCGCCGCACAGAGCCCGTCGTGAAAGGCGGCGAGCACGTCCCACGGGTAGAAGGAGCCTACTCGTCTCGGACAAGCCGCCTCAGCCTGCCGGGGCCCCGCCAGGCGCCTCGCTGCTCCGCCAGCACGAGCCGCACGCACCCTCGTGCTTCCTAGACACTTCCTAGACACTTCCTAGACACTTCCTAGACACTTCCTAGCCGCACGCACCCTCGTGCTTCTGCACCACCAGCCTGCCGGCCGCGCCGACCGCCCACCGCATCGCAGCGTCGTCGAAGCTGGCGCGGTGGCGCGGCGCCACGGCGGCGACGGCGGCACCCAGATCGATCCACGCCGCCCCGATGGCGGAGGAGACGCGCCGCGCCGCCGCCGCCTCGGCGCCGCTCGCGATCCAGCGCATGTCGGCCGAGGCGAGGAGCAACGTCTGTGGCGGCGCCTGCAGAGGGAGAGGACGCGGCTGCCGACTTGCCGGTGCGATCAACGCCGCGGCGCTGACGCTGTCTATCGAGTGCTGTGGCCGCGGATAGGCGGGCAAGAGCGCTCTCGCTGCGGCGCGTGCTGCACAGCTCGCCGTTGCGAGGAGCCGGACGTTAAGGAGGTGCGCGAGGAGGATAGAGCCGTCGCCGGCGGTGACATGCACGCACTTTGGGTTGAGGGTGACGCGCGGGAGGCGGCCGAGCGCGTTTCGCTCTTCGGAAGTTGTGTTCGCGCCGCAGCCGACGTGCAGAATCACTCGCGTGGACGGCTGGTCCGGCGGCTGCTCGAGGTGGGAGAGCAGGCTGGTGAGCGTCGCGTTGATGGCACAGTGCGGGTCTGACGTGGTCAGGGAGACCGCGAAGCCAGAGGCGGCGAGAGTGCGCGGGAGACGAGAACACAGCTTGCACAAGGGGGGGGGGGGGCGGGAGCTGAGAAACCTCGAGACGGTGTGTCCCTAGCGCCGATGCAACGTGGATGGAGTGGAGACAGGGACGGCCATCAGGATGAAAAGACTGCGTTGTGGCTCCCTGCTCGGGAGGAGCTCATGCTGTGCCGAGGGCTTAGAAATTGAAGGAGCGCGCCGCGCCCTAACTGTAGGAACGCGTCGGCGGTGATTCGCACGAACACGGGGACGGACGGCCGTACGGCCGACGACCACGTTAGCTGGGGGGCCGAGCCCGCCCCCTGATCCCTTACCCTCCCCCAAAACCCAAACTCTTCCCTCTCACACGCCTCGAGGCACACTCACTGGATTCACACACAAAAGCAGACGAAAAATAAAATCCCACAATTCCTCAGGTCGAGCTCCACACCCGCTTGCCATCGTACCCGCACCCCGTGGAGCAGCACACACCCGCCTCGAGCTCGGGCGGCGTGCAGAGACGTCCCCCCAGGCCGGCACAGGCCCGATCCGCGTCGCTGTAGCGGCTCGACCCGAGGCACTCGCCGCCCGCCCTTTTCGACACGCACCGGACCTCGCTCCCCGCGCCCGTGCAACAACGGACGTAGGCGAAATCCGTGACGAGCAGCTCGGCGCGTGCGTGCGCTTCCCCCCGATGCGGACACCCATCCGCAGCGACACGTATGGAGGGCGGCGGATTAGATGCGTCGTCCACCACCGGAGGCCTGGTCGGGTTGTACTCGTCCACCACCGGAGGCCGGGTCGGGTTGTACTCGTCGCTCCCGCGTACCAAAGCGCTGTCGCATGCTATTTCCGTGCAGGGGGCTTGCGCCGGGTCGCCGCTGCTCGGGCAGGTGCAGGTGTTGCAGCCGTCGAGGGCCGCAAAGATCGTGCCGGGCTCGCAGTCCCTCGCCCAGACAAGGGCGGAGTCGTGCCCACAGCCCGTGCCGTAAGCGCAGTTGTCCTGCAGCTCGGCCGCAGTGCAAAGGCGCGCGCCCGCCCCAATGCAGATGGCGGTCGCCTCGGCGTGCGTCTTGTTGTGCTGGCAGCCGCCCAGACTGCCCAGATCCGACTCGGTCCAAACCGAGCACCCGCCCCTCTTCGCCCAGCCGCTGACATGCGAATCGGCACAGCAGCGCACCGCGTGCATCTCTGTCTGGCTCCTCCACCCCTCGGCCCTGGGGCACCAGCCAGCCCTGCCGCACCCGAGAAAGTAGGTGGCTGCAGAAGTACTGGGAGCCGGAGGCGGAGCCTCAGACGCGCCTACTCCTCCGGAGCAGACAGCGCCGCCGGTATTCGCGCAGATCCAATCGGTGTACGCCTGCACGCGCGTGTAGATCCCCGGGTATCCGTTATCGCCGCACCCGTAGCCCCAGCTGACGACCCCAACGAGGGTGCGCTCGCCCGTCGCCACGCTGACGCCAAACAGTGGTCCGCCCGAGTCGCCCTGGCACGAGTCGAGGCCCGTCCTTCCCGCGCAGAGCATCGAATCCGGGAAGTAGTCGCTGCCGTACATGTTTTGGCTTCCGCACTCAGGTACTGCAGGCACCGTCACGTGACGAGGCTTGTCGGGTGACGGCCCGTCGGACTGAGTGACGCCCCAGCCCGCGGCGATCACAGTCCGGCAATGCAGTCGGCGTTGCTGTTCGATGTGCGACGGTAGCAGGTGGAGCCGTCACAGCACTGCGCTGCGATGGCCTTCCCGTCGTACCTGGTGGCTGAGGAGTCCTGGACGCACGCCTCGGTGTCTGAGTCCCCATCGATAATCACCACACCGTGCAAAGGGAAGGGCGTAAGCGCTGGCGGTGTTGGAGGGGGTGGCGGCGACGACGACACCGACGAGCAAAGCTTGCTCGTCCACACCCAGATGCTATTGTACGAGCAGCCTTTCCCCTTGCAGTTGCCGTCGCACAGGGTGTAGCCGAGCACGGCGCAGCGCTCTGATGCCTCTGCCCACGTGGTGTATTCGAAGGAGGTGGAGCCCCACAGTCCGGCAATGCAGTCGGCGTTGCTGTTGGATGTGCGACGGTAGCAGGTGGAGCCGTCACAGCACTGCGCTGCGATGGCCTTCCCGTCGTACCTGGTGGCTGAGGAGTCCTGGACGCACGCCTCGGTGTCTGAGTCCCCATCGATAATCACCACGCCTTGCAAAGGGAACGAAGGCGATGCGGAGGGAGGCGACGGCGACGGCGACGGCGAAGGCGGCGGTGGGAGGGAGGGCGGCGGCGGAGACGGCGGCACAAACGGTGGCGGCGGCGACGGCGAAGCCGAGGGCGGCGACGGCGAGGTTGGAGGTGGTGGGGGTGGTGGTGAGGGCACGTCGCAGATGGCGACCGCGGGGTCCACGTCGCAAGACCAGCCGTCACTTGTGGAGCCGTCGACGTACGTCGTGATCGCGCTGCTCGGCAGCGCCGTGCTGCTGGCCGTGGCGTAGCTGATTGTCAGCTCCCCGCCGCAGCCTGGCACGGTGACCCCACCGATTCGCCCTACCCCATCGCGCCGCAAAATCACACACAGTACGGCAGCCGTGCCGTCCGCCGCCACCGAGAGGTCTAGCCCAGCGGCCGACTCGTACATACGCGAGCGCGTACCATCCTCGGACGCAAACATCTCGAGGTGGAACAGGACCCAGCCAAGCGCGACGGCACTACTACCACCCACGAGGCGGTCGACGGCGACATGCAGCTGCGTGGAAGACGAGAGGAGGTACTGGTTGCCCACTTGGCTCGCGATGATCTCTTGGGGCGCTCCCTTGAAGAACTCGTCCGGGCCGCCGGCGCGGCAATTGAGGCGCAGCCAGTCGTCCGTCACTGCGGCGGAGGCCTTGAGGCCGTCGAACAGCGCGCTCATCCGCGTGTCGGCCTGTACGACGCGATCGAATTGGTGCGCCACCTCGTGCCGGATCACCGTCATCGAGTGGTCGCCGCGGACGGAGGCGCCGGTACACCCAAACGCCTCTTCGGTGCCATCGCCCACGTCCATCTTGAACACATTGTACCCGCGCTCGGTGAGGCCGCCGAGAAGCCCGTCGCTGCTGTGATCGCCGCCGCACCGAAAGCTGTCACGCACGGTCATCGTGGCAAACTGCGCCTCGTACAGCACGCCATCCACGCGGAGGTGGAGCGGCAAGTCATCATACATGCTCTCCGTGAGCTGCACAGTAATGTCGTCCATCCAGTTGCCGTCGGCGAGGTACACGTGGTGCGCCTCAAAGAGGGCGGCGCGCGGCGCAGAGTCGATGAGCGCGCGGCTCGCGTTCCTATCGATGAGCAGCAGCAGCCCGCGCAGCCAGTGGAAGAGGACCGCGCCGTCGTTGCACGCCGTTGCCGGCTCATTGCACATGCCCGACGCGGACTTCGAGAGCACTGTGGCCGAAATGCTCATGGAGGTGTCGAGCGCCGAGGCGAACGTAGGGTCGGTTGCGAGATATGCGTCGCGCGCAGGGATGAGCCCCTGCAACGCCGTGGCCGCGGCGAAGTTCGCCTCGGCGTCCGTGGGCCCGTCGCAGAAGGCTTGCGCCGTGCCGATGGCGGATAGCAGCCGCGTGCCCGGCAGCACGCAGGTGACGGACGGATCTGAGCAGGGCAGCACGTTGTACAGCGTCCACAGCGAGTGCTCCTTCGGCGGGTCGGGCTCCGAGCAACAGCGGCAGCCCCAGGAGGTGTACGCCGAGGAGAACATGAAGGTCGTGCAGCCAGCGACTCCCGCGGCGAGCGAGCAGAGCTCAGCACTGGCGTACTCTCCCAGGTTCTTCCATTGGAAAGCACATTCTGCGTTCATTTGCCTCACCTCGTAGGTGTACGTCTCGGGCTGCGGTGAAGGGAATCCCAGTGGTGGCAGCGGTGGTGGAGGTGGCGACACCGCTACGCAGTAGCCCCAGTTCCGCCCCTCGCAGTCCTCGTCCACCACAAAGCACCACTCTCCGCCTGGGTCGCCATCGGGGTTGCCGCAGTAGTCGGAGACGGGGTGACCAGGGGAGCCATCCATCTCCCACTCCTTCTGACACGCGCAGCCGGAGACGGTTTCGCGCGCGGGCGTTGGCGGAGGCGGTGCCGAGGATACCGCCGGTGGTGGCGAGGGCGGTGGCAGTGAAGGTGACGGTGGCGGCGGTGATGGCGGTGGGGGCAGTGACGGTGACGGTGGAGGTGGTGATGACGCCGATGATGGAGTCCGATCGCCGCAATCGGTGCAGTCACTGCCCAAGGGGCAGACAGAATACTCAGATTCGGGGCCACCGTCGTCGCATTCGCCGTCGTCGACGTGCGGGCATCGCTGCGCGTCATCGGTGCAATATTCCGATGGGGGCCGGGGTGCTTGCGATCGTGGGCCACAGTCGGTGCAATCCGAGGCCCAGCTGCAGATGTTATAGTCGGAGCCAGGACCGCCATCATCGCAGTCACCGTCGTCCAGATGGTCACATCCCGCTGGGTCGTCGACGCATTCGCCCTCGAAAAGAGATGGTGGGGGCAGCGGAGACGGCGATGGGGGTGGGAGAGGCCGCGGGGATACCACTAGTGAGGGTGGGGCGACTAGAGGTGGGGAGACCACCGGGCTGACATCGGCCGGTGGCCTTATCCCACAGTCGCTGCAGTCGGTCGCGTACTCGCAGAAGCCATAGTGAGACCCCAGACCGCCGTCGTCACAATCACCGTCGTTCAGATGAGGGCAGCTCGGGTCGTCGACGCAGGTGCCGGGTGGGGAGGGAGGCTGTGGTGGCGCGGGGCCGGGGGTCACGAGGCAAGATGCTGCTTGCTCGAACTTGCTAAACAGGAGCGCGTTGACCGTGCCCGCTGGCAGCCCAGAGATGGCGTCCTTGGTCGCGAGGCAGTTGAGTGCGACGGTGAGGCCGCCAGGGCCCAGAGACGGAAAGCGGGCGCGAAGCTGCGCCGCCACCCCGGACACGTGCGGCGCCGCCATCGAGGTGCCTACTCCGAAGGCGCAGGAGAGGTGAGAATCATAGGAAGAGCAGGCAGAAGCTGGCTCGGCGAGTGAGGCCAGATATCGTGTTGACGTCCTTGTCCGACTCGGCCCATGCCGCTCGGATGAGGCTGCCAGGAGCATGGATGTCGACGCAAGCGCCGTGATTGGAAAATGACGACTTGACGTCACCCTGTTTGATGCTTCCTACCGTGATGGCGGCCGGAGTGGACGACGGCGAGTACTTGCACGCGTCGTCGTTCTCATTACCTGAATTTCGCAACCCCACCCTCAGTGTGGCTGTTGGATGGCGTGTCTGAGCGATGATTGTTCGGAGCTAACGTACCCGCAGCGACTACAGTAAGAACGCCAGCGTCGTAGGCCGCGTCGATTGCGGAGTCGAACTGGCCGCGGCCTTCTCCGCCGAGTGACATGGAGATCACCGCGGGCAAGCCGCGCACCGCCGCGTCCTCAACCGCCCAGTCGATGCCGGCGATGACTTGTGCGTAGGAGCCAGTGTTGCCGCAGGACAGGACCTGCACCGTGACGATGGTCGCACCGCTGGCGACGCCGTAGGCGCGGCCGCCGGCGGTGCTCGCAACGTGCGTGCCATGACCATTACACGCTGATTCGCTAGCCGTGATTACACCCTCATACAGCCAGCCGTTCGATGCGTCGCCGCAGGAGGACTCGCCACCCGTGGGGCAGCCTGCCGACCAGCCTGCCAGAGCGCGGCCTCCAAAGTCCTCGTGCGAGATGCGGACGCCTAAGCGGAGCGGTATGTGGGTGTGCGTGAGTATGATGCGGTGGACAGCTTCCTCTCGCGCGACGCATGCCAGTATCGAGGATGTACAGGACTGTGCCAGCTCCGCCGGAGTTGTCGTACTCGCCGTCAGTGCCTGTGGCACAAATCACGAGGACAAGACAATCAATACGTGTGGTGGCGCATGCATGCCCACTACAGCGTACCAACGCGCTGGTCGATGCGATCGAGGCCCCAGTTGTCGGTCGTAGCAGATCGGTGGCGCTGCGTCTCCTCCACTGGGAGCGAGATGAGGCAGTTTGCAGAGACCCTCGCGACGAGCAAACTGTCAAGGATCGCGTCAAAGAGCGCGCCGGACTCATCGACCCGCAAAGCAATGGCTCCGATTGACGGGAATTCGCCCAGAACGACATCGGAGGGGAAATCGCTGTAAGCCTCGAGTACGAGCTGCCTCAGCCGCGAGATCCTCGTCTGACCGCGGAGCCTCGTGCGGCAGCGGCTGTTTGTGCAGGCGTCTTCCTCTGCGGTGCTTGACCACACGAGCTGGCCATCAAAGCTACAGCCGCTTGAGGCGGTGCAGTCCGCCTGAAGCTCGGCCGCGGTGCAGAGCCTCGCCCCTGCCTCCTCGCAGATTGTAGTGGCCTCCTGGAGGTTCTTGCGCCGGTGGCAGACCCCTCCCATCTCCGCGGCATCCGACTCGGCCCACACCGTGCACTGTCGTCCTGAGTTCAGGCGCCAGCCGCTCTTGAAAGTGGACGAGCAACAGCGCACCTGTATATAGTTGTCAAATCACGGCAGGACGTACGTGTGCAAGCGGGTGTGCTACGTCAGCGGTGGCAGGGCGCGCCTCATGCAAGTCCTCGGGATCGGCGTAGGCAGCCTGCGCATTCTGACACCCGCCTTGCCGCCCGCACACGACCATCTGGCGAGAGTCGGGGAAGGACGAGTCCTCGCTGGTTTCAATAAGCAGACCGTCGTGCCCCATGGCCCCGCAGGCCGCCTTGGATGCCTCAAGGTGGCGCCGCCGCTCGGTGAAAGGCGCTGCAGCAACGGCGGAGAGGAAGAGGGGGAGGAGCAAGAATGCGGTGAGCATACGGCGTGAGATTAGGACACGGCGACTAAGCCGTCGCTGCGACGCGGGCATCCTGCGTCTTTGTGGCCGGCCACAAGAGCAGCAACGCCGGCCACAAGAGCAGCAACAACAGGAAAATGCCCCTCCAAACAAGTTGTTTCAAAAGTGCTGAAACGTGTCATGATTGCACGGACGGTGTTCAAGCCGAGCGACGGCGGCTACGTGGCGTACAAGAAGGCGAACCACGCGCACGCGGTCAAGCGGCCTAACTGTATGTTCGAGTGGTGGCGCGAGTATAATCGTGTGTTTTGGCGAGGCGCGGGACCGTAGTCTGCGGCGAAGTGGGTCGCGTCCTCCGATTTCCTCAACTCAGCCTCCTGCCCCTCTAGGTCATGGTTCACAGCCTTGTTATTGACAAGAAAATACGTCCTATGGCGTTATGCGCTGGTCTGTGAGAGGTTGAGGTGCGAGCCCTGGAGGCCCTGGGGATGGGGTGAGACTACCCGCGGGCCTAGAAGGCCCGCGCGCAGGGGGGTGGGACATTGAGACCGGTCATGAATGAGTGCGCGACACGCATGTTGCGAGCAGCTTCACACCACCGCCACTCCCGCCACCGCCGACACCCAAGCGACACACACCCCTGCCCCTCCGGCCACCACTCACTCCACCCGGACTTCGCCAACGACTATGTCACGTCCGAATCGGCAGAACAAGTGGCGCGCCTCCTCGTCCGCAGCATCGCCGGGCATGCCTGCGCCGCCTCACCTCCACGCCGGTGGGGTCATCCTCGACGATGACGCTGGCGCCCTCGTGTGGGCGCGCTTGCGTGCGAGTCCGGCGACCGCACAGCGCGCGTCAGGCGTGTGCAAGGAGTGGCGGCAGTACGTGTTGGCAACCTTTGAGCACGAGCTCGATCTCGCCGGGATCTGCAGCGAGAAGCACCTTCGCTACGCCCACCCCCCACCCCCCACCCCCCACCCCGCCCCCCCCTTGCCGCACTGACCGCCGGCGCCCCACCGCCAAGGCCCTCGCCAAGACAGGCCGCCTGCGCAGCTTTCGGCAAGACACGACGCGCCGCCACTCGAGTTGCGCGCAGATGAGGGCGACCGAGGCGACTATCAAGGCCGTCGCCGAGTCGCCTGTGCTCGAGTCGCTGTCGCTGACGCTCGGCTCCAAGGCCGCAGCGAACAAACAGACACAGCCAGCCAGCCAGCCAGCCAGCCAGGCAGAGGCGCCCCCCACTGCGGATAGGTGCACAAGGGGCTCGAGGTGCTGTCGGGCCACCCGTCGCTCCGGTCGCTCACGCTCTTCATGGAGGGCTTCACGCCGCTCGCACTCCCGGCCAAGCTGCCCGAGGTGCGCGGGGCACACTTCCCACTATTGCTGGCCCACGCCGCTGCCTCTGTGCAACTCGCGCCTCTCACGCCCACGGTCCCAGCTTCGCGTCCACCCCGACACGCCCCATTTGGTGCGCCCGCACAGCTCGCGGCGCTGCACCTCAAGACTTCAGTCTGGGCGGGCTTCGACTGGCGGGGGCAGCGCTTCACCCACCTCGAGTACCCCAAGCTCGAGGAGATCATCATCGAAGACGGCGCCGGTCCCTTGGGCAACGGCGCCGCAGTCGAGATGACCATGGGCTTCCTGCACGTCCTGCGCACCAAGTTCCCGCTGTGCTCGATCAAGCTCACGAAGACCGGCCTCTTCCGCGGCATTCGCGGAGCAGCGGCGCAGCAAGCTCTTCAAGAACCCGGGCTGCGCCAAGACGTGACCGAGCAGAAGCCGCTCGTGCTTCCGCAGGGCGACGATTGGAATCGTGCTTTCGATGACTACGAGGTCGGGCCCGACAGTGCCGCCGGAATCAGCGTCTACTGAGAGCCGCCACGAGCGCGTTCTTGCGCTTACGCACCGCGACGAGCGAGTGAGGTGGGAGCTCAACACTAGCTCGTGGGAGCGAGCCGATGACATATACGGTTGGGAGTGAGGGCCCCCAGGCGAGCGGGGCGTGAAGACCGGTCTCGCGCCAGGCCTTCCTACACACACGTACACGTACGGTTTGAGTGTTGGCATACATTGAGCTGTGTAGCTGTAGGGAGCTTTTGGTGGACACGTCATGCACACGGAACGTCGGCCTTTTGCCAGGCAGAAACCGGTGAAATGCGCATGACGCAGAGCGAGCCAAAAAAGCGTGTGAGGAGTGTGAGCTCTGGGTCTGGCCGCCCTGGCCCTGCTCAGGCTTCGCTCGAGTCGACACATGCGGCACATGCCAAAAGACATGCATAATATTTCTTATTTGTGTGTGTGGGGGGCGTCGGTAGACGGTGTACCGACTTCACTGAGACACCACGGTACACCACACCACTGTGCCCCTCCACCGTCCCGCGCTTTGCTGCGGTGCGGCTTCGTGAGAGGGACTGGCAGGCGAGAGCGCGAGGCGGGCGGCCTCGAGCGAGCGACCGCAGCCGGGCCTCTTCCAACGCAAGCCAGAGGCCTCTCTCCGTCAGCTCCGGCCGAGGCGATGCAGGATGGCGCTCAGAGCGCGGACGCGCCGCCGGTGTAGAGGGCGGTGAACTTCTCGAGCATCGTGAGCGAGATGACCGTGTACGGCGCCAGCTTGACAAAGGCGGGCACGAAGCCGCGCCAGAGCACGAGAACGCCGTCGGCGGCGACGCTGGTGCGCGCGCACTCGAGCGCTGATGAGTACTCTCCCGGCGCCGCCTGCTGGACTCGCGACTTGACGACGTCGAACGGCATGCAGACGCAGTTTGCGACAAACGACGCCGCCAGCGCCGAGAAGAACATGGTCGGCGCGCCGGCGGGCGCCCAGCCGGTCCGCTCAGAGATTGCAATCTTGGCCTCGGACGTGACTGCGAGCGTCGCGCCGCTGAGGGAGGCCGCGCGGAGGATCGTCGGCCCCGCGCCGTTCCACAGCGCAAGGAAGCCCTCCTCCCGCGCGACGCGCAGGACGCAGTCAATGCTGTTGGCATAGTTCCGCCGCTTCGCCGGGTCGTCGATCTTCCCGTCCGCGCCCATCCGCACGAGCGCCAGCTCGGCCGGGTTGCCGATGAAGGCGCCGATGCTGCCCGACGTCACGCCCATGCCCAGCTTCGCGGCAAACGACGGCGCTCCCGTCTCGCCGCGCGCCGCCCGCGCCGACTTGTCGGCGTCAAGAAGGTAGGCATAGATTCCCAGCCTGCCACTGCCGTACGTGACCTGCCGCAGCCACGCCGCCGAGATGCCCGCGTACAGCGCGCCAAAGCCCTGCCTCGCCAGCTTCGTTGTCGTCTCGATCGTGCCACCAGACACGCCGACCTGCATCTGGACGCGAATCACATCGAACGGGTGGGTGAAAAAGGTGGTGAAGATGCCGGCGGCGGCGCCGAGGCCACCTCGCTCCACGAGCGAGAGGGGCTTCGAGTCGGGCATCCTGCGATGCGCCACGAGGGCTGTCGGCAGGTTTCGGCGCGGAGCCGCCGGCTCGGTTTCTTTTCTGTCCCCTCTCCTGCGGCTCGAGCTGGCGAGTAGAGGCCCCGCCCACCCAGGGTACCCTCTCCGAGGACATGGGTTGGCTCTTTCGAGGACTCGCCGTGGGAGAGAGCGTGCGTGTGCCTACTCGCCCCCGGCCCGGAGCACGAGTGTCGCCGTAGTCCCATGGAGTCCAGCCGTGCCCACCCGTGGCGCGACTGGGCCGAGTGGGAGGCGTGCTACGCGGACCTCTTCGCGCTCGACGACCCCGCCGCCCGAGCGCGCGGCGTGCAGCGCGTCGCGACCTGGCGGAGCCGCGGGCGTGTGCCTCTCGCGGTCGAGAGCACCGCGGTGCTGGCCGAGCTCGAGCTGTCGACGGCGCTGTCGGAGCCGGTGCTCTGCCTCGCGCTCGGGATGGCGCTCACGCGGCTCGTCAACGGCGTGGTCGACCCGATGCAGCAGCGGGCGCGCGCCACCTCGGTGCAAAGGCTCGCGGCCGAGGTGGCGCTGCCGGCCTCGCTCGTTGCGCTCCGGCACGAGGCGACGCACAACCAGCTGCCCTCGATGGGCGCGCTCAAGGTGGCCGCCGACCAGGCGCTCCTCTGGCTGCACGAGCACTACTGGCAGGGCCAGCTCCGCCTGCTCCGCGACCTGCCCGGCTCCGCCCACGACTGCTTGGCGCGCTGCCGCGCCGCGGCGCTGGGCGGCGGCGGCGGCGGCGGCGGCGGCGGCGGCGGCGGCGGCGGCGGCGGCGGCGGCGGCTCGGGGGAGCGGAGGGATCGGAAGCCGTCGAGCCGCGTGCCTCGCTGGCGCGTCACCACCTGCGCCGGGCGACTCGCAAAGCTGCTACAGCCGAGCCACTTGGCGCCCCCTCTCCTCCCTCCTCCTCCTCCTCCTGCCAGCAGCAGGGCGCGGCAGCGGTCACGCCTCCCGGCCACGCCTTTCTAGGCGCCGCTGCTGCTGCCGCTGCTGCTCGACGACGGCGACTTCCTCGCGCCTGCGCCGGCGGGCGGCGGCGCGGCGGCCGCAGCAGCCGCGCGGAGGACGTATGAGGGGCAGGTGTGTGAGGGGATGTGCCTGACCCCTGACCCTGACCCTGACCCCTGACCCTGACCTGACCCCTGACCTGACCCCTGACCCTGACCCTGACCCTGACCCGTCACCCGTTCCCGCACCGGGGCAGGTGGAGGGGATGCGGCTGTGGCTCCGCCTGCTGCGGACGCTGCAGCGCCGCTGGCCGCACGCTTGCGTCGGCGGCGAGCTCCTCCTCGCCGTGGCGCGGCGGCTGGCGCAGGAGGCAGAGGCGGGCGGAGGGGAGGCGGCGAGCGAGGCGGGCCGCGCCGCCGCCGCCACCGCCGCCGCCGCCACCGCCGCCGCCGCCGCCGCCGCCACCGCCACCACCGCCACCACCACCGCCGCCGCCGGGCCGCCGCTGCTCTCTCGTCGCGAGGTGCTAGTTGGGCTCGCGACGTTCGTCCTCGCGCAGCGCGTCCGCCCGCCGCCCGCGCCGCCGCCGCCCGCCGCGCCGCCCGCCGCGGCACCCGCACCCGCACCCGCACCCGCACCCGCGCCGGCGCCGGCGGGCGGGGGGCGCGGGCGCGCGCTGCCCCCGCTGCGAATCGGGGAGGGGCAGCTGCGTCAGGCGGTGTGTTTGCTCGCGGAGGCTCCTGCGGCGGGCAGCTGGCAGAGCAGCCCCTAGATGCGGGAATGCAGACCCGCATCTCCCCGTATCTCCCCACATCTCGAGGTTTAGATGCGGAGCACAGATCCATATCTCCCCGTATCTCCCCGTATCTCCCCGCATCTCGAGGTTTAGATGCGGAGCACCGGTCTTTGCATTCCGACCAGCACTCGAGAGGACACGTGCTGCTCGGTGGTCTTCGGCGGCCTCCCGCCATCTCCCACCATAGCCTCTGTGCTCACGCGACGCACTGGAGAGTCCGCGCGAATCGTCCTGACTCCGGCGTGCGCACGGCGTAGGCAGAGCAGCCTGATCCTCCTCGCAGTGTCGCGCCCAGAGTGGCCTCGCGCGCGCCGGACGCCCGCTCGGCGGTCCCGCCGAGCCTAGATGCCGACCGCACACGACCCGTGGTCTGCGCGGTCCAGCCGCCTTCCAGCCGTAGCCTCTTCCCGAACGTCGCCTCCACTACCCCACCCGTAGCCTCTTCCCCCCCGCCCCCCCCCCCCTCACCTCCGCCTCCTCAATCCGCCAGGCTCCTCTCGCTGCGGCGCGAGGCCGACGCCCTCCGCCGCTGCGGCGGTAGGCAGCGCAGCCAGGGCGGAGGGTCGGTCGGCATGCGCCGCGCTCCGTGGCTCGGAGGAGGCGGAGGAGGCGGAGGCGGAGGCGGAGGCGGAGGCGGCGGCGGCGGAGGAGGAGGAGGCGGAGGCGGGGGCGGAGGCGTAGGCGGAGGCGGAGCGCCTCCGCCCACGCCTCGCCTCGCCTGCCTCGCCGCCTCCCCCTTTGCGGGCGGCGGCGGCGCGTGGCGCCGGTGCGAGGGCTGGCGCGCGACTCCTAGATGCGGGACATCTCCCCAGATCTCTCCCAGACTTGCCCTTTCGAGGC